GCCAACTACAATCAAGCGCAGCTATTCCGCTGCAATTCACTTGATCATGTGGTTGTTGGTTTTGTTGGTTTTTGTTAATTTTATATTATTAGAATGTTTAATTTTTAGGTGTGCTCGTCCTTAAGTTATTTGTTTTTGTTATTTTTATGGCCTTATAACAATTATATTCAACAATTTTTTTTATGAGCTCGAGGCCGTATTCAGTGCAAACTTATTGTGGAAAAGCAACAATAATTTGAAAATAAATAATATAAAAAAAACTTTTTAATATACAACGCTTTTATAAATGGACTAAAAAGTAGAAAATAATATTTCTCAGTCCCATAGAATTTGTTTTGATAACTTTTGATTTTGAAATTTTAGCAAAAGTCATTATAAACAATCTATGAAATTGAAAATGAAAAACGTGGAGCGCATGCAATACAAAGCATTCGATTTAATTGACAATAGTCAAACTACATAACGTAGACCTAAAATTTCTACAGCGAAAGTAGAACTTTGAAATCGATTTTAAGCGGTCGTTATTCATATACCCACATACATACATACTTATATTACTTTTCATATCAATTCAAGTGTATTACATGCGCCCCACGCTTTTCATTTTCAATTTCATAGATTGTTTATAATGACTTTTGCTAAAATTTCAAAATCAAAAGTTATCAAAACAAATTCTATGGGACTGAGAAATATTATTTTCTACTTTTTAGTCCATTTATAAAAGCATTGTATATTAAAAATTTTTATTTTATTTTATTTATTTTCTACTTTTTAGTCCTGTCTGAATAAAATTTTCCAATAGATATTAAAATAATTCAATGATATTAATAGAAAGGTGCACACACATGCATTTACATATGTATGTACATACAAACGAGCACCAATTAATTTTATTTAAAGAAATGGCGTGTCGTCTATTTCCGCTGTAGCAAACGGAGTACATAGGGCGACATCTAGATGTCATCTACCTCGCCCTATTCACTACAGATGTCGCCCTATGCACTGTGCTTTTTTATAGGAACTTTTCAAAGCAAAGGTTTTATGGTGTCGGACACACAACATTGAAAGTTTCTGGATCCACAACATTGAAAGTTTCTGGACACACAACATTGCAAGTTGATAAAAGCGTTGTAAAATGGTAGAAGTGATAGCTATTTCGGAAATCACCACATTTCCTCATCAGACTTCTTCAGTAGGATCACCACTGACTCAGCCAGTTGCCTACACACTGTGCTAAGTTTGTCTTGTTAATTCTTGTTGCTTATTTTCCATTATTTCACTATTTTTGAATATAATTGTTATAAGGCCATAAAAATAACAAAAACAAATAACGGTTATTTTTAAATAAAAAATGGTGGGTTCAGGAACCATATGGGACCTATTTTGATGTTGCACTCGACCATAGCTACAACCTACACTAGGTTTTGTGTCGGGCGTACTTCATGACTTTTTTTGTAGCACCGTGTAATTAATGCAAAGAATTGTTCATGAAAATAATTGTGAATATCCTGACCAACTTTTGACAAAGTCCTAGCTTGTCGTAACGACGTCGATTCGAAGTTATCCCGCTCTGTGGCAAATTGGGAAAACTGAATATATCAGAAATGGAGTTTTTGTTTGTATTTCTGACCCACAGATATATATCTATGTATGAAGAAAAACGCCCACATGTGCGCAAATTAATAAGGGAAAGATAGTTTCGCGATCTGTTCTCACTTTTAAAAGCTAATTCTTTACCCATCAGTTTTTGATGTCTTAATAGTTTTGCTGTAGTTTAGTATTATATTATACACTAGCCAATGCCCGCTTACTTCGCGGCGCCTGATAAGAGCTTTTGCGTTGGCCAATGCAAAAGAGCGTTGAAAAACAAAATTAGTCTGTAAAGTCAAAATTTTTGATTTAAGTTGAAACCACTAAGGCGCAGTATCCTCCTCACACATAGGCCAATAATAGTAACGCTGTGATACCATATGGAATACCAATCCCTTTCGGTGTCATGAGCTTTACCGATGGTCTTATTTCCACCTGTGAGATCTCTGCCAAGCATGCGTAATCTTTTTGTATGATCTTGCAACTACAACATTGGTGCGATGCGTATGCCAATAACAGTTCTTATAGGGAAACTCAAGAGCACAGAAGTGCGTTTTCTGTTATAGGAGGGCCAAGAATCCTCGGTGTCCCACAGGATGAAACGTTTTCCGGAACATTGCTAAATGAGTCGAGCGATCTCTTAAGTATCTTTTATGCTTGAAATACAATACCGGCGAACGGCAAACTTCGCCGAATTGGGCGATGCTGTCGTTCACCGTTCGCCCAGCTATTTCGCCTACTTAAACAGAATTAGAGCGGTAGCGAAAACAGCTGATCCCATTTGGTCGCCTTTATAATTTGGGTGACCATATTTAGAAAAAACTAAACCATATTTAGAAATGAGGAAATGATAACAAATATAAATGTAAAACAAAGAAAGATTATTATAAATAATTTGTTTCAAGCCAGATTTAACGAATCCACAACTATATTTTTCAAACAACAAAAAAAAAAAAATCGTGTTTAGGTTGTTTTCTTTTAAAACTTTGAAAGCAAAAAACAAATACGGCCACCTTTGGCACGCACAGCTGTCATCGCCCAGCAGGGCGATAGAAATAAATCTATCGCCATGAAACGCCGCCAAGCGAACTTCGCATTTCGCTTTGGCTGTGTTCAATTTCATATGCTTGCGGGTGTTCTAATTTTGACAGCGCGAATTTCGCTGTGGTGAGTTCGCCGTTCGCCGGCATTGTATTTCAGCTATTAAATGAAGCAATTAATATACATACCTATGGTGATCTTTCCTTGTTAATTCACCACTTTTACAATTCGTGGTAAAATTTATGAACTGATTTCTGGGTAGATGCAAGACCGCATGATCGTGCATGCGGGCGTCAGAAAAACTTAACCCCATCCTTCATTTAGACATCTGAAAACTAAATTCGTATAACTTAAACATAGGGACAAAGCAGACCAACCACACGGGGTTTCTAGACATTTCGGCTGCAGCGCCATCCATTGGGTTAATTTTCTGCAAAACCCAGGTACATAGCTCACATTTAAAATTTGAACGAAATCGGTTAATAAATACGAGTTTTATAAATAACTCTACTCCAGCACCACCTAGCGAGTTTTCTAGTAGCATGTAATTGGACCATATATGTATGTAAGATAACCTCCGACAATCTGACGAAACTCTATTCAGTGGTTTTTGAGTTTATTCCGAGCAACAAAAACGGCTATCATTTTATGCAAATAGGTATGTAGATAGGACAGTTCATAGCAAAACTCGTAAAAGCAAAGCTCCATTCCTTTTGAAACATTTAAAAAAATTTTTCAAAATTTTCACATAAATACAATAGTTCAATGGGATTTAGAAATCTAGGAGAAAATGGTTCCCAATCGAATGATATTTGCGCGTTTACGTAAATGTATATCGATCCAGCCTTTCCCATAATTACCACTTTTCGCCACACCTACGGTATTGATAACATATGTAGCTGTGTAGAATTTCAGGACGTTAGCGTAAGCAGTTCCAGAGATAAGCTATATGAGAAGTTCAGTGTGTATGGAAGGAAGGAGCACCGCCCCCTTACCCAATGCATTTGCAATATATGCATCAGTGCTAAATTTCAGTTCCCCAGCGTAATCGGTTTAAGAGATATATTGGTGTTTTACGTTTTAGTCTGTATAAGAATTTTAGGAATATCCCGAGCTACAAACCGAGCAAATATTTGGTCAGAATATTTATTTTCAAGGTGTTGCCAAATGTGAACCAAGTCGGTGCAGTCGTTTAGTAGTTTAGTGAAATCCATTGTAAAGAGAACTGTATGAAATTGTAAAACGTGACGTCTCAGATTTCTTAATTTTTTGGCAGCAACAACGAAAAGTTTTAATTTTTTTTAGCGAAAAACCTTCCACACAGAAATAAAAAAAATTAAGTTTGTGGTTATATCAAGGCGAAATTTTGAGAACGGTCCGTTGCTAACTCTAAATATAACAACGACGCACTGGAAAAAGTTAATACGTTCAAATACCTAATGATCGACGATAAACTAAAACAAAAAAAAAAAATGGATTCTATATTTTCAATTAGAGCTCTAGCAATATGTTCATCGGTGAAAACTGCATTTAATTCCATACATTAGCTTTTGCGTGATGCGCTTACAAACATACAGACAAACGTACCGAAAATTTAGATTTGGCTTCTGTTGATCTAATAAGCCCCCTATTAATTTTTCTTTAACATTTATTATACACAGATATCGACCTATTGTAATTTTATTATTCTCAAGTACTCTCGTTTGATACCCATATGGCAACACTTAGTTTATATTATAAATTTAACTGAATTAAAGTTTTCAAATAAGTGGCAACCCGCTTCAAGAATATTTTCAAAAGTAAGCTTCCTCATCCTCTTTAGTTTAATCTTCGTTTTGAATACTTCATTTATTTTACAAATTTTAATGAATACAATTTTTCAATCAGTTGGCAAATCCCCTAAAGATATTTTCAGCATTAAAATTTCCTATCGTCTTTAGTTTGATGCCAATATTGCAGTATTTAATTTATGCTATCAATTAAATTAAATTAAAGTTTTCAAATAGGTGGCAACCTTCCACAAAAATATTTTCAGCTGTAAGCCTTTGTAAATTTCTTTCTTTTGACAGCCATATTGCAGTATTCACTTTACCGTACCAATTGACATAAACTGAAATTTTAAACACAGGTGGCGAGTGATGCGCGAACAAACATACAGACAGACAGACAGACAGACACACAGGCAGACAAAAATTCTAAAAATGGTTGGTTTGGCTTCTGGTGCTCTAATAAAGACTCCCCACATTACTTTTTCTTTAATATCTATAATGTACAGACATCGACCTGTTACAATTTTATTATATGTATAGATATTATTTAATAACCTATCATTATAAATTGAATACTGCGATTTTTTTCCTTCTTTATAGAAATAATCTCACAACGTCTGAAACTACAATATTTAGTACCACTCCAGTGGACACCATCGCACCTATTGAAAAGCCGTTTGAGTGGGAAACAGATGATGTCTCTTCTACAGCATCAGCCAAAAGTTCCGCAGGCAATAGTCCTGCGTCAACAAATAGTGCATGTCAGTCACACACACAGCAGCAGTGCAAAAAGTCGCGTAGTACCGCAAATAGTGTATCTGGTCTGGCTATAAAGGAAGAGCTAAAGCGGTTAAAATTCTTCGAAATATCTTTAAAGGAACAAGTTAAGAACTTATCTTTGCAACGAGATGGATTGGTAATGGAACTGCAGCAGTTGCAAGAGGCCCGCCCTATGCTAGAAAAGGCGTTTGCGGTACGCAAATACAACATATTAGGGCTGTTCAGGATGTTGTGGAAATGGTCTTGGATTTACAGTTGGAGTTTCATTTGAAAACCGTGTGCATTTTATTGTTGTGAATTTACAAATGCAACGCAAAGGCATATGCAAATGCACAAGATCCTGAACAGGCCTATTGTTCACTCCACTTTTTTACCCACTTATTTTCTACATACTACAGCGTACCTTACATCCAAGTATTACACAGCGCGTAAACCAACTGGAACTACGAAATCGTCATTTGCAAAATGCTATCAAGCAACAGCAACAACAAACAGAATCCCTAATGCAGCGTAAGTATAGTGGCGTAATTCAAGTTAGTAAAAACTGGGGCATATTTATTTTCCCTCGTTTACGTTGAGAGTAATAACAACCTAAATTTAATTACCCATCTCAAGTTTTTGTCTATTCACAGTTGCATTTCTGGCATCTAGTTAGTAGATTCAACCTAATCAAACACATCCCAAAGAGCGACTACTGTAATATATATTTTTTTTTATAAAAATCGGTCGGTTGAATATTTGCATGATCGAAAATAATTTTTTATAAAGTAGGTAACGGGTAGAAGATTATACCGTCGGTCCCTCCAAGAGTAGCACATTTTACTATTCGCGTCGAAGACTAGCACATTTCATTATTTGCGTGGAAGAGTAGCACGTTTCAGATTTTTGAATAGGAAAGAAGCACATTTCAGATTCTCAAGTGGAAAAGTATCAAATTTCAGATTTTCGCGTGGAAGACAAAACTTATATGTAATCAGGGTTGCGTGATTTTAAATAAGTCCAATCACAAAGCCATAAATCAAATTTATTTCTGAATTTAAAGTTGCATCAAATCCTAAATAAATTGTATTTGTGATTTGATTTGTCGACTAAATGAAAAATTAAATTTACTTGTGATTTGATTCATCAACCAAATATAATAATGATCTGTCCGAATAAGAAATCAAATTTATTTGTGATCTGATTCGCCAAGCAAATAAAAAATAACTTTTATTTGTAATTTGATTCGTAGACCAAATAAAGAATACGATTTATTTGCGATTTGATTTGCAGAGCGAATCGATTCGGAATTTTTCAACTAAATAATACTTTTTTATGCAACGCAAATGCGATTTTAAATTTTTGCCAACTTCCAGTTCTACGAAAATTGGCGGGCTTTTCGCGATTTTTGGGATTCTCGAGACTATATCTTTATCTTCGAAACTACTTCCGGATTGAAGTAGGAAAATACCTGAAAATAGTATTTGCGTTGCACAAAAAAGTATTATGTATTTAGTTGAAAAATCACGCATCAAATTCATTCGCTCTACAAAATCACAAATAAATTTGATTTCCTATCTTGTGGTCGTTGTAGCGGCTACAACAACCCCGCCCAGATCGGCTAGTATCTCAGTCGTTGTCGTCAAGCTCAACTAACGGAAGACCCATCAAGACCAAGCGTGCAGCCTCTATAGGGTCTGTCCACAGGGACAGAGGCGTTAGTTGTGTGGGGTTTTCCGGGCATACGAAGAAATGTTTCGTGTCGTGGGGTGTCTCTCCGCTTGCCGGATACTAATTTGGCACATCTGCATCTAATCTGCTCAGGTATGAGTTCAGCCTGCTGCAGTAGCCAGAGTGAAGTTGGGCTGTTGTGATCCGAGTCTCCCGACGCAGACGAAGCTCTGTCTCGTCTACGTCAGGTAGGTGTGTGCCCAGAACGGCATTCACCGGTCTGGAGTCTACGTAACTTGAGATTGACTCCCTGTGAATGCCGCTCAGACCCTGTCGGCATGCTGATGGGGCCAGAGATTGCTTTATGAACCTCTGGATCTCGTCCGTCAGTTCGTATAGATGCCTTCTGTGGTGCGATTCACTACGCGATTTTAACAACTCTTGTTATTGTTAAGTCAGCTAAACGACAATTTTAACAATTTAGCTATTCAGTGAACGTTCCCCTAACAACATTCGTTAGCGCCAAATCAGCTGTTGTCGTTAACGATAACAAAGGCCGCTTATTTGACGACGTCTAGATTGGAGTTGTTAATAAATGTTATAATTTTTTCGTAAAGAAAAACTGCACAGCACCGCTAGCAAAAAAAAATTTCAAAAATCAAAGGATTTTTCAGCAACATCAAACCTGCACTTTACTGTACTAAAATTTAATGTGATACAAAACTGCATACATAATTATTCTGATTAAAAACTTGAAGTTTTACGAAAGTTTTTTGAATTTGAACAAGTAATATAAATTAAATAACAAAAAAATAGTTTGTTAAAACTTGTCTATATGGGTTCCGGTTATAATTTTTCAATAGGGCGTAAAACAAATGTAGAAAACTGGAAGCTAAAAGGTGATATGTCTATTTTTTAACCTTACAGGAACTGAATATGCCTTGAATTTAAGGGAATTGAATAATTAAAGTTTTCAATTTAATACGTGTACACCGTTTATTAAAAATATATATATCATATAACTTTGTATGTGCATATTTAAATATTTCTTTATTAATCATCATAACACGCCCCTTTTTCTTATAACACTAATCTTCTTCCATGAATTTGGAATTGATTTTACATACCCCAGTACCAAGTCCCAATACTTTACCATGAACACCTCTAGAGATAAGCAGTATAAAACAGTTAAATTTGTACAGGAGTAACCATGTCCCCTTTTCGAATAACGCAAATCTTTCTCCATGAGTATGGAATTAATTTTGTATACACATCTCGGTGCCAAGTTTCAGTCCTCTGCAATAAACACCTCCAGAGATATGCAGCATAGAAAAATCAATTTGCATGGGAATTGCCACACCACCTTTTCCAATAACTCTAATTTTTCTCCATGAATATGGTATTAGTTTCACATACATACATACATATGTATTTCCATACCAGCTTGAGTGCTTTACCCCAAACATTTGAAGAGATATGCAATATGAAACTTTCAGTCAGTATGGGAGGTGCTACGCCTCTTTCCCAAAAACGTTCATTTTTCTTCGTGAATATGAACATGATTTCACACAGTGTTGGCAAACTGTTAATCTGATAAACGATTAAAAATTAACGATTAAAATGTTAATCGCGTTTGACGATTAAAATTAATTAGTCGTAATCAACTGTACGATTAATGATAACATTTTTTTAATCGTTAATCGCTGGCTGCGATTACGTTTAATTAATTTAAAACATTAATCGTTAATCCAATTAAAAATAAAATCTGCTTAATTTGTCTAGTTTGTCCGAGTTTGAGGAACCCGACTTAGCCATACCGGATTAGCTTGGTTTGTGTGCAAATGGAAATTCCAGCATAACTTAATTAATCCCCAAACCTACTTGATCAAATTAAGAGTTAATGATTAAACTATTAACTGTTTAGTCAGATTAAAATTAATCATGATTAACTGTAATCAGATTGAATTTAATCGAATTAGCTAACTGATTAAAACATCAATCGATTAATGCCAACATTGATTTCTCATACATATCACTATACCCAGTTTCAGTTCTCCCCCACAAATACTTCCAGAGATATGTATGTAATATGAAAATTCCAATTTGTATGGGAGGGGCCTTGTATTACCGGACTTACTTTCAGTCTAAGACCATCCTTCCGAAATCCGTGGTAAGTGTACTAAATTTCTTCTGGTTAAGGAAGTAGCCTATTTTTCAATCCAGGTCATAAACCATCTTTGAGAAAAATTTCATTTTCAAACAATTCTTAAAAAAGTAGCCTATTTTCCAGTCTAGCCCCTAAGCTATCTGTGTGCAAACTTTCATGCAAATCAGTTCAGTCATTTACGCGTATTAATTTAATTTAACTTTCCTAATACGTGATAACTCTTTAAATAGTAGCCTATTTTCCAAGATAGGTCATAAGCTATCTATGTGCGAAATGTCATGCAAATCTGTTCAGTCGTTCCCGCGTATTAATTAAATTAAAACTTTTTTAACAGGTGGTAACCCTTCCAAAAAATTAGCCTATTTTCCACAGACTTTTCCGCGTATTAATTTGATTTAACTTTTTGGCAGGTGGTAACTCTTAAAAGAGTAGCCTATTTTTCAACCTAGCTCATAAGCTATCTGTGTGAAAACTTCCATGCAAATCAGTTCACTCATTTCCGCGTATTAACTAAAGTAAACATTTCTAACAGGTGGCAACTCTTAAAAAAGTAGCCTACTTCTAACCTAGGTCATAAGCTATCTGTGTGCAAAATTTCATGCAAATCCGTTTAGTCGTTTCCGCGTTTTAATTTAATTAAACTTTTTTAACAGGTGGCAACTCTTCCAAAAAATTATCCTATTTCCCACTGTAGGTCATAAGCTATCTGCTTGCAAAATTTCATGCAAATCAATTAAGTCGTTTCCACGTATTAATTTAATGAAACCTTTTTAACAGGTGGCAACTCTTAAGAAAAGTAGCCTATTTTCCAATCTAGGTCATAAGCTATCTGTGTGCAAATTTTCAAGCAAATCCATTCAGTCGTTCCCGCATATTAAATAAATTAAACTTTTTTAACAGGTGGCAACTCTTAAAAAAATAGCCTATTAACTAATCTGGCCCATAAGCTATCTGTGTATATAATTTCATGCAAAGCCGTTCAGTTGTTTCCGCGTGATGATTTCCCAAACATCCAAACATACAAACATTCACGTTTAGAATATTAGTAAGAAATTTTTTGTAAACTTTTGCGAGCTGCGAGCAAAATATAGCAGCAAAATTCAAAATTATGTTGTTTTCTACTTATGTGTATTTATTTATTTTTAATAATTTAATTTTTTATAGTGCCATCTACTATATAACAACAGAAACCAAATAAATACAAGTTTCAAAGCTTGCACAAAATTCACAAAAATCAATCAAACATAAAAAGTTTTCACCAAGATTTCGAACGTTTTATTCAGAATCTCTATAAGATTTTCGGGTATGCAGTTTTGTAGCCCATTCAATTTTAGTCTGATAAAGTGCAAGTTTCAAGTCGCTAAAAGTTGCCCTTGATTTTTTCGATTTTTTTTTTGAAAGGTGTTGCGCATTTTCAGCCAAACAAAATGCTTGTGAATTTTGTGCTCACACGAGCGCCTAGACATATGCAACGGATTTGGGCCCATTAGCGGCAGCACAGTTAGTGAATCGCACAATCGTTACTGCAAACAACAAAAATTGTTAGCTTACAACTCGACAAAACGCATTGTTAAAAGTTAGTGAATCGCGCTACTGGTCAATGTATTTGGTTGACAAATCAAATCACAAATAAATTTTATGACAATCTGAAATGTGCTACGCTTCCACGCGAGAATGTGAAATGTGCTACTTT